AGGCTTTTCTTCTTCTACCATCTCTGACAATTTAAGCACCATCTTCAATTTCCTGTACTATTTAGGCCCTTAATCCCAAGAGGCCTTGAATTTAAAACTTGCCACAACCATTCTCTTTGAATGCAATCTGCCATCATTGTACCTCTTCCACTGCCTTGATCCAAGAACCTCTTCAGGTATCAAGACAATCACTCTTCTCTGTTTCTTTACTTCCATTCCACCTGCTCTTTGAATTTATAGAAGCATCCAGTTTTTGAGCCCTCTGCTTTCTCTTCACCAGTACCTTCTTGCTGGTATTTCTTTCCTTCTCCAAACAGAAAACAGTAAATTGTCCTTAGGTAAAAACACTCATGGTTATTTACCTTTTGTATTTTAATTGTCTTATTTTCTTTCTCTTTTTTATGGCCTTCTTTGGTATCTATTACTTCTCACTGGCAACTGTACATGTAGTGAAAAAATTCTTGCTTTACTTAAACTACAGTTCTAAGGAGTAACTCTGTCAATCTTTTTTCTTTACTATTTCCAAAAATGTTTTCTTACAGTTTTACCAAATCATGCCACTTCTACACAATTCCTTTCCTGTATATTCTAGAACCCGTGACCAAAATAGTCTGTAACAGCGCCATATCAACCTTAGTGCCGATTACTTCTAGGAAACAAAGTTCTGGAGATGTAATAATGAAAGAAATTTAATGTTCTAAATGTAGTTTAATTTTAAAACATAGTATTGCTTTTTAAAAGAAGTATTAAAAGTTAATGATTACCACTTTACAAACTAGCAATAACCTATGGAAGTGGTAGTTGTGGTATGTTGGTGGCAATGAACATACCAGCTAATGCAACAAACTGTGGAAAATTCATATAAGTAATACAACTTTCTTCTACTAAGCAATGATTCTCTCTCTCTTTTATCCTTCTTTATGTATTTCCAGTACGTTACTTACTTCGTATCCTGATTACATCTCATGGTCCAGCCTTTCAACAATTCTCTTCTACTCTAAGCACCCTTGTACCACAGCTCTAGCGTTTCATCTACTTTGCAGATTTACTCTGTTACCCATCTTCTCCCTGCTTGTACTCAAGACACACATTCCAATAGAGAGAGTTAACAATTATATTCAGAGTCACCAACCTCATCCAGGCACACAACACAGTTTAGGAATCCTATGTTGTTTGTCTGGTCAACTCCTCCTTCTGCAAAGACCAGTCAGATTTTCTTCATTTTCCTCAAAACTGTTTTCCTATCTTAGATGATGACTTCACCTACTTCACAGAAATGAACTAAATCAATTTCCTGCCACTACATCTACACTGCACTCATCCTTCCCTCTTTCTCACTTGATAAAACCCAGGAGCCCTACCCAACCCACCCCATATAATACCACCCGTGTTTTGGATCCTATCTCTTTCCTTCTTTGTAATCTTTGTGTTTGTTTCAGACTCTTTTTATTGGTAGTTTTTCAACATTTGTTTTTGTTTTAATAAAAAGATCAGAGTAATGCATAATGGTCTTGTTGAGACTTTAACACAAATCTAGCCATTTCCAATGCCTTTTTTGATAAAATGCAACAAAAAATTAACCCACAAACAAACCCCCTCCAATCAATTAAGAAAGCAAACATCAAAACAAAACAACATAGCAGGTTTCATTACTGATAATGTGTACAGTGTTCCAGTCTGCAAAGTTCTTGTCCCCATGCTTCACCTGGCTTAAATTCAATAATCCCACTGGACTGTAGACTTTGTGAGGGCAGGGACTTTAGTTCCTATAACATCCCTAGTGCTTTGATGTTTACAGGTCCTCAAAATATTAATTGAATAAATAAACTTGGTTTTTGTGTAAATGTCACTTTTTTAAAGGACTTCTGTGATCACACCAATTTAAACTAGGTATTCAAGTACAAATATAAAATGTAAACCTTCCTGTTTTCCATCCTATCGGCTACATCTCAAAAGAAGTTCCCAAACCGATCTCTAAATGTGCACCGGATGAAGAAAACGAAACCTATTCCTGCAGAGTGCAATATTACTGTTGCCATCTCAAGACAGCCATCTCAAGACATTTCTAGAAGGATTGGCCATCCATGTCTTTGCAAGCTCTTGCAATCCTTTCCAAAGAAACATCCTTTTAAAAATGCTGTGCTGTTTTTTTGTTTTCTTCATTCTTCCACGGAGTTCTCAGTCCTGGGTTACAATACCTTCAGGACACATCTGGAAAGGCAGAGTGGGACCTGATTCCAAAACTATTAGATGGTAAACGAACTGAAAAGCAACGACACTTAGAAAAGGAATGTCGATTCTTTAATCAAAGCATGACATCCCAAGGGCCTAGCACGGGGGAAAGTCCTTCACAAGGGAGTCAAGGAGATGAAAGATGTTATGAGGGAGAGGTTGCCAAATCTCTAGAGGGAGGTTCGAGATAGGGTTCTAAGGACCTACTGCCTGTGGCCAAGTTCTCAGTCCGCGTGCTCCAGTTCGCAAAACATTCGGAGGAAGCACAGCCCTTACTGAAAGGGGAGAGCGCTGTGCCTGGGACATGCAACTGTCCGCAAATTACGGTTTCCCTGTCAAGAGGAGGAAAATTAAAAGCCCACAGTGCTATTCTCCCACCTCGACCTTCGCGAGGGTCTCGAGCCTCCCAAGGGTGGGTGGGAGCGGGGTAGCTCGTCACAACTCACCGCTCCGCCCAGCAGCTCCGTCCGTTCCCGGTAGCCCCTTCGGAACCAGTCCCGGCGCCAGAGACTCTCAGAGAAGGAAAACAAAGGTTCCCGCAGCACGGCTGACGGGGGAACGTTTTGACAGTGCGATCGCAGGAAGTGACGCAACCAGTTCTTTCCGGTCCGCTGGATTATGAATGACGGCTCTCTTTGGTACTGCCCTGATTCGTCGCCTGCTGTTTCTTTCTCTGTCCGTTTGGAAACTAGTAGTCCGCCGGAGGCGGCTCCCAGAAGCGGCCTCGGAATCCTGGCTCGGGCGGGACGGGAAGGCGCAGGCGGCCCGCGTCCCCGGCACGCTCACGCACCCTCCCTGCCTGGCCGCGCCTCTGCGACCAGGTAAAGAGGGCGCTCGGGCCGCCGGCTCCTCAGTCCCCGCGACCCTCCAACGACTGCTGTTGGTATCGGGGGTCGACGGGGCTGAGGATGCGGGAGGAAGGGCGGGAAGGACGAGGGCGTGGAATTCTTGTCCTGATTTTTCTCCTGTCTTGCGGCCGCCTTAGCCTCTTGAGACAGGTTCTGAGGGTACTGGCGGAGGTTTCGGGTCCCCTCTCAGTTTTATGCGTTTCCAACTCCTCCCCGGCCCAAGCTTTATTGTTCCTTGTGCTGATGGGGGAAATACAGCAACATAAAGTTAACAGCGATTCTTAGGGGTCGCTTGCCGTTTGCTTTTAAGTGTAGTTTCTAGACCTTTTGAATCACACTTTAACTTTTTCTCTTTGACACTTAGTTTTCCATTCCAGCCTTTCCTCGTTGGAGAAAGCAGTTGTTTGCGAATACTTCATAACTGATGCTCCAAAAGTCCTGCCTTATTTGGGGCCAGTTGCTTAAGTTACACTGTCAAAGCAGTATTTTTTTCTCTCTCTCTTTACATAGCTTAGATTTAAATTACTGTGAACATTTTTTTCTAGTCTCAAAGTACAAATCCTTTCCATCTCCACTCTACCTGGTTTTGAATTAGATGACTTTCCCCCCTTCATTCTTACTACTAGGGATTTCATAATGCCATGATCCAGCCATTAGTTTTGCTTTTGAATACTAAGGGCCTGCCAGCATTTAATAATATGTCTTAAGTTAGTAGTAAAGAGGTTGGAGTACTAATATATATTTTTTTCTAGAGCAATGCCGTCGAGTCGGTTCTGACTCTGCTACCCTGTGTAGGGTTTCCAAGGAGCGGCTGTTGCGTTTGAACCGCAGACCTTATTCACACCGACCTTAGGTTGAGTGCTAATCCTACCGGAGAAAAATGCAAAAGCTGGCAAAGAGTAGATTTGTGACCCTTTAAAACATGTGAATACCTTTTAAGTATTGTGTAAATAAATTCTTTGTTAAAACACAATAACGGAGTGATTTACTGTTACGTTTAATAAGCGTTAAACTATATGAGGTTTGGTTTTGTTTCTAACCATAACTAAGAGGATTGCCTTTAGCGTACTCATTACATGAAATTGTATTGAGTTATACCCAAAGGCAACACTTTAAGATACTTAATTGCAAAAATAAGTTAAAGATCAAAATTTGAGAGTTGTTTGATCATTTCTTACTTACTTTCTTTACACTTCTATTCCATATTTGCCTGCTTTAAACAAAACTGCTTCAACTTCTGTGGTAGTGTGCCCATGAAGTTTTTACTTTGGAGCTGTGCATCATTACCTGCAGTTGAAATAAGAATAAATACTGCAGCCTTTGAAACTAACAAATATGGGGCCAGGCAACTGAAATAATTATGGTATGTATTTAGCCTCTAAACCAAACCCACTGCCTTCAAGTCTATTCTGATTCATAGCAACCCTGTGTAGGGTTTCTGACATTGTAATTCTTTATAGGAGCAGACAGCTTTATCTTCTCCCTAAGACTGGCTGGTGGGTTTGAACCGCTGATCTTGCGGTTGGTAGTTCACTCTGGATATATGTTGTTTTTACCCTCAAATATTCAAAGTAGCCTACTGAATTTTTTATAATGTACTTGGAATGTAGGGATTTAAAGCTTTTAGCCCAAAACAAATTCAGTAATTTTGTATAATTTTATATCAGCTGATGCTTCAAACATGCTAGCAGTGTTGTTGTTAAGTACCATCAAGTTGGTTCTGACTAATAGTGACTCTATATAAGGTTTCTAAGCCTTTAAATCTTCCAGGGAACAGAATTCTCCCCTGGAGTGATTGGTGGGCTTAAACCACCAACCTTATTTGCAGGCCATTGCTTATCCTATGGAGCTAGTGTGGATCCCTGTTAATTATGAGGTCAGGGTTAGCTGTAAGCATTACGATTCCATGGCAACATGATTCCCAGGTTCTCCAGAGAGAAGGTGACACACTTAAGGCTAAGGTTACAGTAAGCTTTTGAATTTTAGACTTCAAAACAAAACAAAACAACTTTCCCACGTAAGAAAACAGCTAATTTAATCGTAAAATTTTATCCTTTAGGACTTAACTATCCTCGCATTACATAATGTAAGGAGTTCTGAAGAAACTAATTTTTTTCCTTTCCCTTTTCAACATTTAATATTTAATGTAATTAGCTGTTATTTACAAACCAAACCAACTGCCATTAAGTCTCTTCTAACTCATAAAGACCCTCTAGGACACCTAGAACTACACCCTGGGCTTCTGAGACTTATGTATGGCAGCAGACTCATCTTTCAACCACGGAGTAGCTGGTGGGTTTGAATCGTGCACCTTATAGTTAGCAACCCAAAGCTTATGCCACCACACTACCTGGAGTCTTGTTATTGTACAAGTAAGCTTTGAAAATAAAGTCTATTGTGTAAGAATGGGATTCTGCAATCAAATAATATTGTTTTTGGAACTATATTCATAATGTTGAGTGCTTCATGTAAGAGGGCATTTAAACTAGTTTAAATTTTAATCTTTAGGGAAAATAAATTTGTAGTTTTGGGGTTTGTAAGTAAAACTGTCAAACTACTTGTTTTGTATAATAAAAAAGTGTATGTGAGCTAAGGATTCACTTTTTTTATTCAACCATTTGTGATTGCCTGACTTTTGGCCTCTGGTAGCGTAGTGGTTATGAGTTGGGCTGCCAACCTTAGGGTCAGCAGTTCGAAACTACCAGCAGTTCCGCGGGAGAAAGATGAGGCTTTCTGTTCCTGTAAAGATTTACAGCCTTGGAAAACCTGTGCAGGGTCACTATAAGTCAGAACCGACTCCATGGTACTCAACAACAAAAACAGTGTTTTATCAATATTTGAAAAACAAGCAGATTTTTCAGTTCAACATGAACCCTTACCTTTACTGGGAAGAAATGTAGAAATATAAAGTATAATTTGGATTTTACCCATTAAAATTTGTTTCTTTTAATAGTGTGAATGAATTAGCAATTTGGAGGTATAATAATAAACTAATAATGATGTGGGGTTTCCTTTCAAATGGGGTTGCAATGAGTGGGAAATCTACATAGCTCACAACAACTATACAATTGTGTTGTTAAGTGCCATCGAGTAGATTCTGACTCAGTGATCCTGCATAGGGTTTACAAGGATCAGCTGGTGGGTTTGAATTGTCAACCTTGGGGTTAGCAGTCAGTGCTTATTCTAGAGCACTATATCAGGACCCAACTATAACAATGCTATTGTTAGGTGTCCTCGAGTTGGCTCTGACTAATAGTGACCGTATGCACAACAAAATGAAACACTGCCCAGTCCTGCACCATCCTAAGAAGCATTGTGCAGCTTGAGGCCATTGTTGCTGCCGCTGTGCCAATCCATCTCATTGGGGGTCTCCCTCTTTTTCACTAACCCTCCACTTTACCAAGCATGATATCCTCTTCCAGGAACAGGTTCCTTCTGATGTATGGAGTCTTGGTGTGGTGCGGTGGGTTATTCTGCTGGACTTCCAGGAACAGGTTCCTTCTGATGTATGGAGTCTTGGTGTGGTGCGGTGGGTTATTCTGCTGGACTGCAAAGTCGGTTTGAACCGCAAGGTTGGTGGTTCAAGCTTACTATCTGCTCCTTTAGAAACTCTATATAGGTCGCTATGGGTTGGAACCAACTCAACAGCATTTAACAACAACAACCAATGAGAGATGAAGTCTGGTCATCTTAGCTTCTAAGGAGCATTCTGGTTGTATTTTTTCCAGCACAGATTTATTTGTTCTTCTGGCAGTCCATGGCACTTTTAATATTCTCCAACACCATAACTCCATAACAATAGTGTACACTTATTTAAGGGTTCAAACCCACCAGTTGCACCTCAGAAATCATATACAGGGTCGCTATGAGTCAGAACCAACTTGATGGCACTTAACAACAAAGCCACAGTTGTTCTGTTCTTGTAACACACTATATAGGAGTACTGTTAATATTATATCCACTTTACAAATGAAGAAACTAATGCACAAAATGATTTTGCATAGTTACAGAGTTCTCAGTCAAACTGAGCTCTGTCTTGAGTCTAATCGATTACTATCTATTTCTTGGTGTACATATATTCTGGCTAAATATATAAAAATCTTTTTAGATGCCCAGTTCTCTTGCCTGGATATCAATGAACATCAAAACTTGTATGTTTTCTTTCTTTATAAGTTCTTAAGGTTTCTAGGTATACTTTTTCCAGTCCAGTTCACAGAGTTAATTTTTGTCCTTCATTTTAACTTACACTTAAGCTGACCTTTAAAATAGATTTATTGATTTGAAAAAGAAACAATTGTGTTATGAAGACGGCTTCATGTTGGACTGAAACAAAATTTCTCAGAAAGACTCATTACAGTCATTACTGATACTCATTTCTGTATATTTATTTATATATTTGAAATAAAATTTCTTGGAAAGACCATAGAGTTGTAATCTGAAATCTATGGGCGCATATCTCCAGGTTTTTTTCTAGTTGAGCCACTGGATACGTTCAAACTGCCCACCTTTTGGTTCCCAGCTGAACACTTAACCATTGCACTATCAGTGGGCTGTGAATTGCAATATAAAATTTATTTTTTACTATGTGGTATGAACAAAAAGTTGGAAAAACGGTTGATTAAAGGACTGAGTTTAAATTGAGAAGAGGGCTGAGTACTAAGACATGGGTTACTGAAAGGTCTGAAGATCCAGTAAAAGGATCCAGGAAGCAACTGCCAGAGAATTTGACCCTCTGTAGAGAATGGCCAATAACCCTGCCTTCAGAATGGAGGTTTTCATGAAGGAGTACTTGAGACCAGCAAACCTGCTTACAATAATTTGTAATTGATGCTTATTTTTTGCTTTGGTAAAATTGTTGCTGCAATAAAGTTATATGCTTCAATTTATAAAATTTCAAACTTCTAAGTTTATAAAATAGTGCTATTTATAAAAAATATCTTCTTAGTGTTTTCAAATAAGATACCTTTAATGGTTCTACTAATACTTAATGGCTTAAAGTACAATTCTCATCCATAAACGGACAATAAAATGTATTTTAAGGATTGTGAGGATTAGAAGTAATGTCTAAAAAAACAATCTGTATCATCAGCAAATAGTAATGAACAATAAAGTCTACGTAATACTATGTAATTTAGAATTGTATGCTTTTTTCATTGATTTAACATTTATTAAATTACTAACAAACTCTAGGCATAGTGATTTGCCTTTAAGAAAAACAGCAGATCTGCTGCTTAACATTTTGCTACACTTACATAAATTTCTTGGTGTTATTTATTATGTAATATATAATTTACAACTGTATTATGTAACAGTAGTTATAGATCCTGACTTGAATTTTGAACAAAAAATTTAGAAGTGCCTTTTCCTTTGGTGGAACTGTTTGCTTATTTTTTTCCCATTTGCACATCATATATATATATATGGTGGTGAAGTAAGGAAACATTTAAAAAATTCATTTGCCTTTTTATATGTGAAATGTTTCAATTTATCAAAGCCAAGTTAAAGTCATTAGAATGTGAATGTAGAGAAGCCTAATGCTTGAAATTTTAAACCTGTGACAGTCAATCACTTACAAATACTTTTGAAGATTCGCAAGTAATGAAACCAAGGCTACAATATTTTCTTTTTAACCTACTTAGTTCCTCTGGTGAAGACATAATGTGACACTCTAGGATAAGCCCTGGACTACTAACTGCAGGGTCGGTGGTTCAAACCCACCAACCACTCTTTGGAAACCCTCTACAGGGTTGCTTTGAGTTGGAACCTACTTGATGGCACTTAACAGAAACAGTCCCTCGGTTGCAAGATTTTCCAAGCAAATCGGCGTGTACAGGAGAAGCCACATACATGACCATCTTACTTCTGCTCTTGAATGTTGTGAGAGTTGTCTGCTGCTTCCTCCCTCCATAGCAGTTTTAGTATGACTCCTGTCAAATCTAAGAGAGCAAATGATGCTACTGCTGGGCTGTGCAGGAGTGCAATACGGGTGATGAGCTGTGCCCCAGGAGCCATGGAAATCCAGAGGGTTCTGTAGTCCTTACCTTCTTAAAGGAGTCCTGGTGTGGTGTTATATGCTGGACTGCAAGGTTAATGTGCTGGGCTACAAGGTCAGTTTGAACCGCAAAGTTGGTGGTTCAAGCTCACCAGCCACGTGTCGGAAACCCTACACAGGGTCGCTATGGGTCAGAAGTGACTCGATGGCACTCAGCAACAACAATAAACCTTACCTACTCTTGAAAAACTGAAGACCGTGCAAGCCAAAATTATATCAAATTTGTACATGTTTTCTAAATACTTAATATTTATTTTAGAAATTAGTACTTACTAGGGAGAAACTGCCCAGGGGGAGTAACTTTTATTAAACTCCAAAATCATTAAGTTACATTTTTAATCTCTCCGGAAAGAGACACTAACATCTGTATTGAAAAAATTTATGTTAAAAATCAACAGTACTTTGCATTTTCTCTTAAGGCATCTCATTAATTTTCAGATATATCCATGAGCAGGTTATTGCTATTCTATTCTGTTGACATTTAGCATTTAGTAAGTGCTCATAGTGAGAAGAGTTTACAGATTATATAAAAGCATACTTTCAAGGTCCTCAGGTTCTTAGGAAAGTGGTAAATATACATGTACTCTCTCTATGTAATTTCTTATATTTCTACATTTTGTAATTCAACAAAAGCTGTAAAATACCATTACACAATAATAATAATAAAAAAGGTGTCACTAGGATTAGTGTCCTACTTTTTACTAAAGGAGTCCTGGTGTGGCACAGTAGGATAAGCACTGAACTGTTAACCACAAGGTTGGTTAACAACAGCTAGCTGCTCCTTGGAAACCCTAGAGAGAGAGGGTCACTGAGTCAGAAGTGACTCAACAGCACTTAACAAGACTGTTGGGCAAGTGAGGACATCAGCTTCTTTCAAATCTGCCTTCTTGAATCTCTTTGGGGTCTCCTTTATCATACTGACAGAGTGGGAATTAAGAGGATTAATAAATTAATCAGCAATAGATATCCATGAGCAAATTCATCAATGAGACTTCTCAATTCCTAGAAAGCATGGTTGGTTCTTTTTTGCCTGTAGACTTTAATAAATTCCATTTATATGTTTTAAAATCAGTTCTGATGTTGTTAAGTGCCATCAAGTTGGTTCCAACCCATAGCGACCCTGTGTAGGGTGTCCGAGGAGCGGCTGGTGAGCTTGAACTGCTGACCTTGCAGTTCAAATGACTTTGCAGTCTGGCACATTAATCCACAGGGCCACACCAGGACTCAGTGCCCAAATTGGCTCTAGCTGCCAAAAAACAACCCTCTTTCAGGTGATTAAGCTCAGGGAGAAAATTATTTCTATGGATTAAAAAATTTTTGTTCCCAAATTGCTTGAAATAATACTAAATTATTTCAATTCAAATAATTTTAAAAAGTTGCAATTCATGGTGCATATCTGTTATATTTTAATGAAGTAAATATAACAAAATGATACAAGAGTGTCTGAGTAGAAAGAAACAATGTGCTGGTTTGGGCTTGTACAAGGTACAAAGTACTTTGCTCACTATATTTATTATAATGGATCATTGGCTCTTGATTAGAAATGTTGAGAATCAAGAAACCTAAAAAATGTTTGATGGTTGCTTTCAATTAAAAAAATAATAATCTAGGGAATTTAGCATATTAAAGGAAATTTAGTATTTTGAATTTCCTAAGACTCAGGATATACTAACTTATCAACTACAGTTAAAACTGATTTTCATACACATTTCTAATGGGCTTTAATATACCATTTTATAACCTGCTTCTATATAGAATGTTTTTAAAGAGTGCCATCTAGTGTTAATTTTAGAACAGTTGTTTATAGGTTACTCTAAAACATGGGGAATTTTGGGCCCAGAAAAGTACTAATTTTAAAAAGTCATAAAAGCCTTAAAGAATATGACTTGTAAACAACGTTGTACATATTCACATCTTTAAGATAACACGTGTGTACATGAATCTATGCATTCCTTCAACAAATACTCATTTGATTATATGCCTTGTTCTACAGTTGTTAAGGAACTCTGGTAGCGCAGTGGTTATGAATTGGGCTGCGAACCGCAAGGTCAGCAGTTTGAAACTATCAGCTGTTCCATGGGAGAAAGGTGAGGCTTTCTGCTCCCATAAAGATTTACATCCTCGGAAACCCTGTACAGGGTCACTATGAGTCGGAACCGACTCCACGGCACATAACCACCACCACCACTATTGTTAAATGCTCTCAAGTCATAGCTATCCTGTATAGAGTTGCCAAGGAGGACTAGTGGATTTGAAATGCTGATTTTGCACTTAGTGGTCCAGTGCATATCCTACAGCACCACACCAGGACTCCAGGCCTTGTGCTAGGTATATTAAGAAAAACAACAATGGAGTTAATAATGACTCCTTGGTAGCATAGTGGATGCTAACCTCAAGGTCAGCAGTTTGAAACTACCAGCAGTCCTACAGGAGAAAGATGCGGCTTTCTGCTCCCATAAAGATTTACAACTTCGGAAACCCTATACAAGGTCACTATGAGTCAGAACTGACTTGGTGGCATATAGCCACCACCACCACCATAGGAAAGAGTAGAAGTAGAACTGCCGCAAAGGTTGTAAATCTTTATGGAAGAAAACTGCCACATCTTTCTCTCATGAATACACTTGTGGATTTGAACTGCAGACCTTGGGCCTTTCAGTTAGAGCCTAGCTATTAACTGCTGCACCACCAGGGCTCCCCAGAGAAATCACCGAGGAGGCAAACACTATGAAGAGTAATGATGTTAACTTGGATCACAGTCAAAATAGTGGAGATTATGTGATCAGATTCTGGATACACATTGAAGATAGAGCCAAAATTAAATTTTTAATAGATTGATTATGATAATGTGAAAAGAAAGCGTAATTAAGAATGACTCCCAAGGCTTTTAGGCCTGAACAACTGCAAGTGGGATGACACATGAGGAGCAAGTCCTGGGAATGGGGGAAAATAAGAAACTTGATTTTGGACGTGCTGAGTTTGAAATCTCATAGCTATCAACATTTACGTTAATGGGAAAATTCAAGCATTTTCCTATTGTGTTTCAGAACCCAAAACCTAACCATAAGTCCATTTAGTTTAGGAGAATCCATTTCTCATGAGAGAATGAATATACCCCTCTGATTATTATTTTGTATAGTCATAAAACAAGCCATATGAGGGGAATGTTGATCATTCAGGAAGGACTAACCTTGTCAAAACTTCTCAAGGCTCTTAACATTCCCCGAGAACTCTCAGCATTCTTGATTTCTTCTCTTCCATTTTATTCATCTCTGTTCTTATCCTCATTGAGATCTCAAATGGGAGGTTCTATAACAAGGCACCCCAGTTTGAAATCCACTACGCTACTTAGGCTCCTTGTAAAATTACTGTGAAACATGTAAAATCCTTGTAAGACTAATTAATTCCACAGGATGCAGGTCTTTCTTTTGTTGTTATTAAGTACTGCTGAGTCAGTTCTGATTCATAATGACTCTTACAACAGAACAAAACATGGCTTGGTCTTGTGCCAGTCTTACGCTTTGAGTCCATTGCTTCAGCCACTGATCCATTTCATCTCATTGAAGGTCTAACCTACTTTAACAAGCATAGTAAAGTCAGCGACTCAAAACTACAAGCCGCTCCTCAGAAACCCTCAACCCACTCAATGGCACATAACAATAACCATGTCCTTCTCCAGGGACTTTTCCTCCTGATGACATGTCCAAAGCACACAAAGTGATATCTCATCATTTTTACTTCTAAGGAGCATTCTGGCTTTATGTCCAAGAAACCATTCTCTGTTGGATCACCTTTGGAGTAGGCATGGATGGATATCTTTCTTTTTAAAGTCATTTATTCAGTCTTGAGGAACAAATTCCTGTAGACTATCATCTACCATAAATGCTTGCTTTTAAAATGTTCATCTACTGTGTTAGTTTAAGGCCTGTAATCATTTCAATTTATGCTTCAGGTGAATCAAGCAAAGAAGAAAATGAAAGGCATTAAGAAAAGTCTTACAGAAGAATATCTGTATCTGGATTTTTCTCATCAAACAGAAGGATGCATCTTTCCTCTTCATACATCTGTAACTGTGTTTTTATTATCTTACTGTGACAGCAAAATCTTTAAAGTTTGCTTAGCCCTTACCAGAGAAATTGCAGACATTTCACAAATAAGAAATGTATTGCCCCAGGATGTTGAAATACAGATAATTTCACGGGAAGAGCTTCCATCAATAGTCCAGAATTGTTGTTTACCTGCAGTAGTGGAAAGACCAGGCAATTTTTGTAGAGCTGGACTTGCTGTTGTACTAAGGCACATAATTCAGAAATCATATGAAGCTGATCCCTCCCGGAAGGAAATTTTGGAACTACTAGGTTTTAAGAAGACTTGCTTGAAAGCCTGTGCTGAAGTAAGTATATTGTCATTCCTACTCTTATTTAAAACCACAGAGTGATGGAGTACATTCACTTGCACATTTATTTTAACTTCCTGTTGAGAACCAAGCTTTCATTTATTTATTAAACCCAGTGAAATAGTTGAAGTTGCTATTCTTGTATACTATTATTTCATTGGAAAATAGGAACTTAAGATTTAATTTATGAAGTTTGGAGACATTAGTTTTAGAAGGTGGCATCTTTTTTTTTTTTTGTAACTAAGGTGTATTGAAGAGTTTTAAACAGGAGCTCTAGTATTGTAGTTGTTGAGTTGGGCTGCTAACCCTAAGGTCAGCAGTTTGAAACTACCAGCTGTTCTGCAGAAGGATGACGCATTATGCTCCCATAAAGATTTACAGCCTCGGAAACTATATAGAGTTGCTTATTAGTCGCAACCGACTCCATGGCACATAACCAACCAACCAAAAAGAAATTTACACATAAGTAGGCATCCAAGCAACAGTACATTTGAATCACTGTTTTTTTTTATTTTAAATGTTTTGATAACTATTTATTCAGTAAAATGAGTTAGGAGTGAAAAACCTTTCAATGTTTAAAGTTATCATGTTTGAAGCACAGTATGTCTCTGATATAGCATAGAAACCTAGACCAGGAATAATTTAGCCCTAAGACTCGACAGATTCTCTAAACTAGTTTATTTCCCCAACAGAAAGTACTTTTTCTTCAAACTATGTTTAAAGTAAAGAATCCTTCCATTTCTTGTTTTATTTTGTTTTGTAGGTTAGTCAGTGGACCAGGCTCTGTGAACTCACCATCCCTTTGGCTATTGAGAATTTTCTCAGACAGTCTTCTGAACAGGCCTCAACTATCCCTGTAGAAATACTACAACTAGAGAAAAAACTTGGTGAGCCTGTTAGAGTGCACAATGATGACAAACTCCGTAGACAGAAATTAAAGCAACAGAAGGCTGTTGGAGTTGAAATTTCCCTTGCTAAGGAAAAAAAAAAGAGCAAGGTTCATAATCAGGAAACATCTGAAGAGTTGGACTCCCCATCCAAGACCCTGGAACTGGAAGTGGCATTCTCAAAGCTCACAGCACAAGAAGAAGCATCCTCTAGTAACAGAGAGCCTTCTCACATCAGAAAAGCAAAAGCCTCTGACCTGCCACCTCTAGAGCATGTGTTTGCAGAAGGGCTTTACTTCACATTAGCAGATATCGTGCTCTTGCCCTGTGTCCATCATTTTTTGGTAAGGTTTTATCTGAAGTGAATACATTACTACTATATATAGTTCAATCTATGATATGACCTAGATTTGAATCTCAATTTCATTTCTTACTATTATGTTTCTGCACAAGCTATATCTCTCTGTCTCTGAAGACTTATCTGTAACGTGCAAATAATAATGGTACATACCAGAATAGGATTAGTGTGAAGAATAAATCACATAATTTGTGTAAAGTGTGGAGAACAGTGCTTGGCGTACAGCAAGTTCTCAACTGATGTTATAATTATGACTTCCTGTTGCGAAACACAATGTGAGAAGCTATGATTGCCAATTTCAAATTGCTACGGCTATTACCTTCTAATAGTAAAGGGTCCCGTATACAGAAACTAAAAAAGCTTATTTTATAGTCAGCTAGTTCCTTAATATAAGGAACCCTGGTAGCGTAGTGAGTTATGTGTTGGGCTGCTAACTACAAGGTCAGCAGTTTAAATCTACCAGCTGCTCCATGGGAGAAAGATGAGGCTTTCTGCTCCTGTAAAGATTTACAGCCTCCGAAACCCTCTACAAGGTCGTTACGAGTTGGAACTGACTTCATGGCACACAAACACCACCACTACCAGTTCCTTAATAAACAAATCTCATTCTATTAGACATTATCAAATCAGAAAAAGTTTATTCTCATCCTTGGTTTCTCAGTTCTGCATAAGATTATAGTAGCTGACTATGCTGTGGGAGAATATAGGAGAAAAGTTTTCTTTTCTGTCAGGGTCACCATTGATTGGACAGAACTCGGGCAAAGTCTGACCTATTATGGTCAAAAGAAAATTCAGGGGTTTTAGGGAGGCACCTCAATTTGAGAGAAGAATGAAAGCGAAAATGGATTACACCAAAGAAACTAGATGAAAAGGTTGATAGTCTATTCTTTTTTTTTTTTTTTTTTGGTATAGCAATGGATGGCTTTTTATTTTGTCATAGGCATTACTTGAAAAGAAATGAATAGGGACCATTTCTCCTACAGAGATTTGGCTTGCTCAATACAAATCACTACTAAGATGGTGATAAAGTCTCATCTCTTTGCAATTGCACGTCACCTTCAATATGCTGGCTTAATAAGTGAGAAAATGTGGCGGAATAGAAAGACTTCTAACCTTGGAGTAGAGTTTGAATCCTGGTTCTGTAATTTAGCTTTTTGTGACTTTGGGTTGGTTATTACACCTCTTTATGCCTCATTATCCTCATCTGTGAAATTAAGATAATATGCTTCTTGAAGACATATTGTAAGGGTCAGAAATGTTATTCTTAGAAATACTGTATATAAAATTATGTATGATGGAACAATGCATGGCTTAGAGGAAGACACTCAATAAATAGATGTTATTATAATTAATATATCTTGAGAAAAATCACAATAGCCTAGGCAAACTAAGCTAACTGTTATATCCTTGCTATGGAAACATGTTTAAGACCACAAGATTTTAGTGATGGATTTTCTAGAAATATATAATATGTCATTATGTACATATCCACAAACACTTCCTGATGTTAATAATAATAGAGTTTAGATATTTAAGTGTTGTGTTACATAAAATGTGAGAGTAAAATTTGTATACCAACTTCCACAGATTGTTTTGAGAGGGGTTTCTTGCTGTATGAGCCTTTTGACTCTTATTCCAAGGATAGGAGGGAGAACAAACGACTGTTAAAGGAAAGCCTCTTTCAAAATTATTTTATTTATTTAATAATTACAATATTCTAAACAAATGACGAATATCCTCCTGATAAAAAAATTGAATGTGTGAGTGTATATGAAATGACCTGAAGAAGTTTGTGGGGAAAATGGAATTGAAAGAATTTTTATGCATGTGCATATAAGTGTGTGTGTCTGTCTATCTATCTATCTATCTATCTATCTATCTATCTATCTATCTATCTATCTATCTATCTATCATCTATCGAGACACACAGACACACACATACAAATACACAAATCTGTACAGATTTCTGTGTAGAAGAGAAAAAAAAAAACAGGGCAAAAATAATGTTAGAATGAGCTTGGGAAGCTATAACTCTCTGCAGTCTTCCATTTTGTTTTCAAGAAGTGCGTTTTTCTTTCTTTGAAGCATTTCACCCTTTCTCCTACTGAGGAATCTGATTTCATCCTCCTTCTGTATCACTGATACTTCAGATACCTCTAGTGACAGATGAGAAAATACTTCTAATGAAAATATTTGGAAGCTTCAGTAAGTTAAGTGGTATTGATTAGTGTCATTTTCTTTAAGAACAATTCTCTTTCCTTTAAAATTAACTAACAGCAAGACATGATTGAAAACCAAAATCGCTTAGGAATGCAAAGATTTGAAAAGGAGAGATTCCAGAATTGTTTAGATGTTGGCTGGTGTTTCAAGTGTTATTCATACTCATAATGTTCATGTAGCTGGGTGTAAACAAAACATCTTTTTTTTTCCCCTATAGTCAAAATAACTAAATCAAACTCACTGCCACCAAGTTGATTGTGACTCATAGTGACCCTGTAGGACAGAATAGAACTGCTCTTTAGAGTTTCTAAGACTGTAAATCTTTATGGGCTCATACAATCCCATCTTTCTCCCATGGAATAGCTGGTGGATTTAAACTGCTGACCTTGTGATTAGCAGTCCAATGTTTAACCCACTGTACGCCAAGGCTACATCTTCATGTCAAAAGATCTCTAGACTGTCTTACTCTTGATACCTCTCTTCTGTTACACATTTCAATTATTAGGTCAGTCATTGGACACTTCATGAAATGAGATTGGTTGCGTCTATGGATAGCTGTATTTGTTTCTGATTTCCTAAGAGTTAACTCAAAGTGACAAGTCATTCACTCTTTTGCTTAAGAAACTTATTGAAAGCATACTTTATAAACCAGGCATTATTATAGGCACTAGGAACATAGTGATGACCAAGGTAGACAAAATCCCAGACTTCATAAAGTTAATATTCTAGTTGTGGGTATTGTTAAGTGTCATCGAGTTGGTTCTGACTCTAAAGCAGCACTCTTTAGGATTTCTGAGGAGCATCTCGTGGTTTTGAACCACTAAGCTTGTGGTTAGCAGTTGAGTGTTTATTCTACAATGCTACTTCAGGACTCTAATATTCCAGTTGTTGTTGTTAAGTGCCATCGAGTCGGTTCTGACCCATAGCGACCCTATATAGGGTTTCTCAGGAGCGATTGGTGAGCTTGAACTGCCAACCTTGCAGTTCAAATGGTTTTGCAGTCTGGTGCATTAACCCACAGCACCACACCAGGACTCCAATAAAAAAAAAAATAATAAGCAAATAAATGGCGTGATTGTTGTTACAGACAATTGAGTCAGTGCTGATTCATAACGATCCTATGCATAACAGAATGAAACAGTGCCTGGTCCTGGGGCAACCTCACAATCATTTCTATGATTGAGCCCATTGATGCTGCCATTTTACCAATCCGTCTTGCTGGGGGTCTTCCTCTTTTTCTCTGACCCTCCATCTTACCAAACATGATATCCCTCTCCAGTGACTGGTCCCTCTTGACAATATGTCTGAAGTATGAAATATGAAGTCTGGCCATCCTGGCCTTCAAGGAGCATTCTGGCTGTACCTCATCCAACACAGATCTATTTGTTCTTTTGGCAGTCCATAGTACTTTCAGTATTCTCCTCGAACACCATAACTCAAATGCATCAATTCTTCTCTGGTTTTCCATATTCATTGTCCAACTTTCACATGCATATGAAGTTATTGAAAATACCGTGGCTTGACTTAGGTGCACCTTAGTCCTCAAACTGACATCTTTGCTCTTCAACACTTTAAAAAGGTCTTGTGCAGCAGATTTGCCCAATGCAGTATGTTGTTTGATTTCTTGACTGCTGTTTTCTTGAGTGTTGATGGTTGATCCCCAAAAAATGAAGTCTTTGACAACTTCAATGTTTTCTCTGTTGATAAGAATGTTGTTTATTGGTCCAGTGGTGAGGATTTTTGTTTTCTTTACATTGAGATGTAATCCATACTGAAGACTGTGCTCTTTGATCTTCATCAGTAAATGTTTTAAGTCCTCTTCACTTTCAGCAAGCAAGGTTGTGTCATCTGCATATCTCAGGTTGTTAATGAGCCTTCCTCCAATCCTGATGCCACGTTTTTCTTCATAGAACCCAGTTTCTAGGTTTATTTGCTCAGCATATAGGTTGAATGAGTATGGTGAAAGAATACAATCCTGTCGCACACCTTTCCAAAATTTAAACCATTCAGTGTTCCCTTGTTCTATTCGAACAGCCTCTTGGTCTGTGTATAGGTTCCTCATGAGCACAATTAAGTGTTCCGGAATACTCATACTTCGCAATGTTGTCCATAGCTTGTCATGATCCACACAATCAAAAGCCTTTGCATAGTCAATAAAACATAGGTAAACATCTTTCTAGTATTCTCTGCTTTCAGCTAAGATCCATCTGACGTCAGTAACAATATCCCTAATTCCACGTCCTTATGTGAAACCAGATTGAACCTCTGGAAGTTCTCTGTCAATGTATGCTTGCAGCTGTTTCTATATTTAGTAAAAGTTTACTAGCATGGAATATCAATGATATTATCCAATCTCTTCCAATCAGGTAGCTTGGTAGTTATCTTCCAAATTTCTTGGCAGAGATGAGTGAGAGCCTCCTGTGCCGCCTCACTTTCTTGAAAGATTTCAATTTGTATTCCATCAATTGGGAATTGATGGACTACAAAGAACAGTGCCTTGTTCTTTGCCAATGCCTTCAATGTTCCTTGGACTTCTTCCTTCAGGATCCTTGGCTCTTAATTATATGCTACCTCTTGAAATGGCTGAACATCAACCATTTTCTTTTGGTACAGTGACTCTGTGCATTCTTTCTATCTTCTTTTGAAACTTTCTGCATCATTCAGTAATTTGCCCAGAAGAGGAGGCTTGATTTTTTTTCTTCTGTTCCCTCAGCTTGAGAAACGTTGAGCGTGTTCTTCCGTTTTGGTTTTGTAACTCCAGGTCTT